TCTATAACAGCTATATGGAATGTAATTTTAATATCAGGCAGAGCCCAACTTATAAAGATGGGTTCTGTAGGCTTGTCCTTAAGTTGAATTTGTTTGTAAGTCGGAACAGGTACTTTTCAAACTGTAACACCAGCTTTGGATCACATAGGGAAGGCTTAACACTCCTGTGGTGTTAGTTTTGCTGTTTGTGTCCCTGTTCAGAAGATTTCACCTCACTTTCCGTCCCAGTGAGAATTGGATTTTGGAAAAAAATTGGCTTGTTGTGGAAACAAGGATTGGTGAAAAAGCTTCCGTGAAGACCACCTTTCCCCATGATAACTCTTTCAGGGGTAAATTTCCTTTCCTGGAGTAGATTTCCCACACTTCCCGCTGTCTCACCCTTGCTTTTAACTATGAGTCGTTTGTAAGTTGGATGTTTGCCTTTAGTCATCAGTACCTCTTATGTTTAACATATTTAATCCAGTTTATGCCATCACCTATATGCAACAGTATAAAGCAAGAATTTATGGTGTTGTGTTACATCTGGACCTGAGATCAAGTTCAAATGAGCACAAACAAACCAGAATTTGTTTATGTTCAACCAAAAATGAACGTGATCCTGACTTGTTTGCAATCAACCTGACTTTAATCCTAGGTTAAGATATAGAGCTACGCCATCATGCTTTGTCTGATTACCGCCAAGAACAAGGGCGACAAAGCTAATGTTCTATTTGTAAACTCTCCACATGCACATCTTAGTTTATTAATCCAGAAATTCTGGTTCAAAACTATGGACAAATAAGTTGAATGAAAATGTGCTGGTAGATTCAATGCACACAAACTTCAGTTACATACCAGTGTGCGACTTTACACACACAACATTCTGGAAAAATTCCACCATCTATGCATAGACCTCTGCTTATTCTTCACATTTATAATCCAAGCTGTTCATGCAGCTACGGTTCCCTCATTAAAGTCATTGACAGTCCTATGTAAAATTCCACTACCATCCCTCTCCAAATGACTAGGTTCAAGAAGCCCAATTTCAGTTGTATGAATGCTTCATTGCAAATAAATCTGGCATCATTATCATTATATTAATTTATTCTACTTATTTATTTACTTATCATCTGCCTTTTCTCTAGTATGGGACTCAAGGCAGCCCAGCATAATTATCTGTGGAATACAGTTGGAAATGACCCTGGATTGATGAATATGATCATTTGACTATCTGGCTTTGGATTTATGCACGATAGTCGTCTAATGTTTACGTATGTTGTTGTAATGTTGTTTTAAATTGTTCTTTAATTGCTTTTGGGAGCCCCAGTGGCGCAGTGGGTTAAAGTGCTGAGCTGCTGAACTTGCTGACCGAAAGGTTGCAGGTTCGAATCTGGAGAACGGTGTGAGCTCCCACTGTTAGCCCCAGCTTCTGACAACCTAGCAGTTCGAAAACATGTAAATGTGAGTAGTTCAATAGCTACCACTCCGACGGGAAGGTAACGGTGCTCCATGCAGTCATGCCAGCCACATGACCTTGGAGGTGTTTACAGGCAATGTCAGTTTAGAAATGGAGATGAGCACCACCCCCCAGACATGACTAGACTTAATGTCAGGAGAAAACCTTACCTTTACCTTTACCTCCAGCTCATCCCTTGCTTGGTTATCAGCAAGCACGTCAACGACTTAAATCAAGAAATAGTTTTCTAAGATCTACAGAGACACTCGCTGGAACACCCCAGCAAGCGAGAGTCCAAAAGTGGCAGGCTCAAACTCAGAACTTCAATCAATGGCTGATACAAAATGAGAGACTCCCCCCCCCCCCACCTGGGCACACAGAAAACTGGGCGACTTGGAAGGCGCTGAACAGACTGCGCTCTGGCACCATGAGATGCAGAACCAATCTTAAGAAATGGGGCTACAAAGTGGAATCCACAACATGTGAGTGTGGAGAAGAGCAAACCACTGACCACCTGCTGCAATGCAACCTGAGCCCTGCTACATGCAACACCAGAGGCACTCCAAGTGGCCAGATACTAGTCAAAGGACATTTAATCAACTACCAAGCTTTCAAACTTTGTGTTTTCTCTGTTTTTGTTAAAAATGTAATACAAATGTCTGGTTCCTCCTGACACGATTTTAAAAAAAACCTTTTATTTTTGGATCTATGCACAACAGTCATCTAATATTTACATATGTTGTCTTAATGTTGTTTTAAATTGTTGTTTAATGGCTTTTAACTGTTGTTGTTTGGGCATGGAATAATGCCAGTTATGTAAGCAATTCCTAAACACCTTTAAACATATAAATGCTAGTGCTTCTATATACACACACCCACATACACATGTGTGCGTTTGTGTGTGTACATAACTCAGAGAAAGAGCTAGCTTCCATATTATAAATGCTGAAGACTGCTATCCTAAGTGTTGCTATAGTCTGCAACATGCCCTTGCCTCAAGCTACTGGAAAATCACAGAATTTCAGAGTTACAATAGCTCAAGCAGGAGATGAAGCAATCCTCAGCAAAGCAGGTGAACTATGATGGCATCTACATATCCCTTTAGGGCAGGCCTAGGCAAACTTATTAATTTTTTTCTTTGTTTCTCTCTTTTTTGGGGCTCCCCCCCCTTTTCAATACTATCTTCTCTTTTCCTACTATCCTCTTAACACTAACAACAATGTTCTTCCACTTTCAATGTAAAAATCATATTTTCTTTTCAACTTTATAAAACTCATGAATAAAAAAAAAAAATTTAAAGGGCAGGTCTGGGCAAACTTGACCCCTCCAGGTGTTTTGGACTTCAACTCCCATAATTCCGAACACCTGGAGGGCTCAAGTTTGCCCAGGCCTGCTTTAGATGGCCCCCTCCCTCCCCACTTTCAAAAAACAGCTGAAGACATACCTTTCTTTGCTCACTGGCTTACGAGGAGGAGGAATAGTAGTTGGTAATACTACCATTATACCTCAGATTAATAGTTGACATCCGTATCCGTGCCTTGCTCACCCCCACCAGCTCAATAGATATCGTGAGCAATGATTAATCGATTTGCCCCAAAGAAACGGGAAATTATTGTTTCCATTTGATGTTTTGTCTTATGTCTGTTATAACAGGCTGTGCTTTTTATTTAATTTTAGTTTGTTAAGTTATAATTCGTATTTATATGTTGGGTTGTTTAAACTTTGTTAGTATGGATGTATTGTATTCAGACATTGAATGTTTGCCTGCTATGTTTGGAATCTGCCCTGAGTCCCTTTGGGGAGATAGAGTGGAATATAAATAAAGTTTTATTATTATTATTACTAGCCGGCCCCTGCCATGCGTTGCTGTGGCCCACATGGGGGTTCAATCCCATCGTTGGTCGGATTCAGAATGCTCTGTGATTGTAGGTGAACTATAAATCTCTGCAACTACAACTCACAAATGACAAAATCGTTTTGTTTTGTTTTTTAGTGAAGGACATACATTGAGTTGTTAAGTGTCTTGTGTCCAAATTTGGTGTCAATTTGTCCAGTGGTTTTTGAGTTCTGTTAACCCCACAAATGAACATTACATCTGTATTTATATAGACTAGCTGTACCCGCCACGTGTTGCTGTGGCCCACATGGGGGTTCTGTGTGCCAAGGTTGGTTCAATCCCATCGTTGGTCAGGTTCAGAATGCTCTGTGATTGTAGGTGAACTATAAATCTCAGCAACTACAACTCCAAATGTCAAGATTCTATTTTCCCCAAACTCCACCAGTGTTCATATTTGGACATATGGAATATTTGTGCCAAGTTTGGTCCAGATCCATCATTGTTTGAGTCCACAGTGATCTCTGGATGTAGGTGAACTACAACTCCAAAACCAAAGGACACTGCCCACCAAACCCTTCCAGTATTTTCTGTTGGTCATGGGAGAACTGTGTCCCAAGTTTGGTTCAATCCCATCATTGGTGGGGTTCAGAATGCTTTTTGATTGTGGATGAACTATAAATCCCAGCTACTACAACTCCCAAATGACAAAATCATTTTTTTGAGTGAAGGACATACATTGAGTTGTTAAGTGTCGTGTCCAAATTTGGTGTCAATTTGTCCAGTGGTTTTTGAGTTCTGTCAATCCCACAAACAACATTACATTTTTATTTATATAGCTTTATCGTGATTCAAATTGTCATCAGGCTATGTGAATTAAGTATATTTGAAAGACAAATTATAATTTCTGGTTTAGACTTGGACCCCATCTGGAAAGTAACTCACTCATTACGCATATGCAAATATTCCAAAATCCAAACTTCTGGTCCCAAGCATTTCAGATAACCTATACAATTAGATATAGTTGGTTCTCTCTTTCAGAACTGGTTGCAAATGCAAGCCTTGGTTGCATCTACACTGTAGAATTAATTCAGTTTGATACAACTTGCCCTGCCATGGCTCCATGCTATACAACCATGAGAAATGTTGTTGTACAAGGTCTTCTTTCTCCTTCTCTGGTGCCTCACCAAAACTACAACTCCCATAATTTCATTGCATTCTATAGTGACTTTAGATGCAACCCTTTACCATCAGTTTTGCAGACCCAGGAGTCTTGATCAAGGCTGCTCATCTGGCATTTTAAAGCCTAACCTAACTTGGAAGGGAATGATAAAATAGAGTATGTTTACTATGCAGCAGGTGTGACCTGCCACGCAAGAGGCAAGGGCAAAGGCAAGGGTTCAATCCTGCTTCTTTCAATTCCCCCCTCCAGTACAGAATAGTTTGCCCCGCTTCCTTAGATACGACGAATGCTATGGAACAAACCATGATATCCGGAGGGGAGAGTTCAAGCCTACCTTTTTCAATCCCCCCCCCCCAGTAGAGAATGGTTTGCCCCGCTTCCTTGGATACGATGAAGGCAGTGGAACAAACCATGACATGCCGGGGAGATACGAGAAGGAGATAGAAGCATCCAACCTCCCTAGTACAGTGACTCAGTCATCATTCTCCCCCTCTACTGTGGTTATTTATTTTTATAATCCTCAGGCATCCCTATTGAAAGAACGGTACCTAATTCTTCTCTTCCCGGCAGCTCCATCTCTGACTCTCTATGATTCCTCCCGCTGTCTCGCCTTCCGCCAATGTGGAGCCGGAGCGCCGCAAGAAGCAACTGCGCCTGCGCGAACTCATCCCAGGCTGAAGTTCCCCCCTCCCTTCTTCCCACTTTCTCCTCTTGGCTTTGAACGCCATAGAGATAGAAACAATAGAGTGCTAGATCCTGGCGACTGGACTCTTTTAAAGACACTGAGAGGACTGGGGACAATTGCACAGAAAACAGTTTGTATCACACTATTTGGATACTGTGACTCAAGAGGAAAAAATAATCAATTTTCTACTATTAGACTCTAATATTACATTGTCAATCCTTATTAAGAATCTTATTATTATAGAATCATAGAATCAAAGAGTTGGAAGAGACCTCACGGGCCATCCAGTCCAACCCCCTGCCAAGAAGCAGGAATATTGCATTCAAATCACCCCTGACAGATGGCCATCCAGCCTCTGCTTAAAAGCTTCCAAAGAAGGAGCCTCCACCACACTCCGGGGCAGAGAGTTCCAATGCTGAACGGCTCTCACAGTGAGGAGGTTCTTCCTCATGTTCAGATGGAATCTCCTCTCTTGTAGTTTGAAGCCATTGTTCCGCGTCCTAGTCTCCAGGGAAGCAGAAAACAAGCTTGCTCCCTCCTCCCTGTGGCTTCCTCTCACATATTTATACATGGCTATCATATCTCCTCTCAGCCTTCTCTTCTTCAGGCTAAACATGCCCCGTTCCTAAGCCGCTCCTCATAGGGCTTGTTCTCCAGACCCTTGATCATTTTAGTCTCCCTCCTCTGGACACATTATATTATACAATACATTATTAATAACTATTAACCATTATATTGGTAGTTGATTAAATGATTGATCAACTACCAAGTTTGCAAACTTTGTGTTTTTGTATCTGTTTGTTTGTTTTGTTCTGTTACAAATATAATACAATGGTCTGGTTGCCCCTGACACGATAAATAAATAACCATTACATTAATACATCTTAATAATAAACGTTATTTATATACATTACTATGGAATTAATTTTAATATATTTTAATATATTACTATTAAATATATTTTACTATTTAAATATAACGGTCTGGATGAGGGCGAACAAATTGAAATTGAATCCAGACAAGACAGAGGTACTCCTGGTCAGTCGTAAGGCCGAACAGGGCATAGGGTTACAGCCTGTGCTGGATGGGGTCGCACTCCCCCTGAAAGCGCAGGATCGCAGCTTGGGTGTGATCCTGGATTCATCGCTAAGCCTGGAGCCCCAGGTCTCGGCAGTGACCAGGGGAGCATTTGCACAGCTCAGGCTCGTGCGCCAGCTGCGCCCGTATCTTGGGAAGTCTGACTTGGCCACGGTAGTCCACGCTCTGGTTACATCCCGCTTAGACTACTGCAACGCTCTCTACGTGGGGTTGCCCTTGAAGACGGCTCGGAAGCTCCAATTGGTCCAGCGTGCGGCAGCCATGTTACTAACAGGAGCGGGATGCAGGGAGCATACAACGCCCTTGCTGTACCAGCTCCACTGGCTGCCGATTTGCTACCGGGCTCAATTCAAGGGCTGGTGTTGGCCTACAAAGCCCTAAACGGTTCCGGCCCAAGATACCTATCTGACCGCATCTCGGCCTATGAGCCCACGAGGACTTTGAGATCGTCTGGGGAGGCCCTGCTCTCGATCCCGCTGGCCTCACAGGCACGCCTGGCGGGGACGAGAGACAGGGCCTTCTCGGTGGTGGCTCCTCGGCTGTGGAACACCCTTCCCATGGACATCAGACTGGTGCCCTCCCTTATGACATTCCGCAAGAAACTAAAGACGTGGCTGTTTGAGAAGGCGTTCGAACAAGAAGTGCAATAATTGGCAATGACGATAGGAATGGAACAACGGAAAACGATATTGGATTGTGGCTTAACGATGAGACGACGCAAATGACTTTTTTGTATTTTGTATTATTGATATTGAGATTGTTGATGTTGTTGATGACGATGTTTTGATATTGCTAGTTTGTTGTTATATTATATCTTGTAATTTGCACCTATTCTCTACATGTTGTACACCGCTGTGAGTCGCCCCTGGGCTGAGAACAGCGGTCTATAAGCACAGTAAATAATAAATAAATAAATAATGTTAATTTATTACTATGCAATCATTGTTTAATAAATAATAAGAGTTAATATAACTTTTTATTAATTAATTGTTATGATGAATATATTGATTATAGAAACACTGAATATATTAATTTATTAATGAATAGTTATTATTTTGATAGAACATGTTGAATGCTCTTACTAAGGAGGCCAGACTTGGTGGAGGTGGTTGACAGGGGCGGAGCTGTAGGCTATTAAAGGCTGCTCTGCCCCCTGCTGTGCTCTTTACTTCAGCGTGACCCTACCCCCCTCCCCGAAATTTTCAACCCCCCCCCCCAAAAAAATTCATTTCTTTTATATAGTACGTGTCCAAACGTATCTCCTTCTACGTCCTGCCTAGAAATTTAAGACCTTCTGGAGGGGCCCTGCTCTCGGCCCCGCCCTTGTCACAAACAAGGTTGGCGGGGACGAGGGACAGGGCCTTCTCGGTGGTGGCCCCCTGCCTGTGGAATTCACTCCCGGGGAAATTAGATCATTGCCATTCCTCCTCTCTTTCAGAAGGAAATTAAAAACATGGATATGGGACCAGGCCTTTGGATAATCCGGCAGACTGACAATGACGACTAAAGCTTTGGAAACGGACTATGATAAGTGGAATGAATTTATTAATTACGGACTTGGCAAAACAATGGCCACCAGGCTGGCATTTTATTTTATTTCTATTGTATTAATGTAATGTTTTAACTGTTATAATTTATTGTTACTATGTATTTTACTGTGTGAATTGTAGGCATCAACGTATGCCGGTCGGAAGCCGCCCTGAGTCCCCCTTCGGTGGTTGAGAAGGGCGGGGTAGAAATACCCGAAATAAATAAATAAATAAATAAAATTATTCGCTGCATTGTATCTGTTGTCTTTTTATTGTGTTTATTTGTGTTTGGCAATGTAATGTTTTCCTTTGTTGGTCAGATAGCATCCCCATTCTTGGTTCCAATTTTACTTTGACTTCTTGTAGAAGACGTCTCCTGATCTTCCTTTTTTATTGAACAACAAAATTAGAAAAGTCCCAAAGGTCATCCAAAAGCACCTCCAACAGGTGGCCATCCAGGCTCTGCTTTAAAACCTCAAGAGAAGTAGACTCCATCACACTCCAAGACAGCGTATTTGCACAAAGGGGGCTCACTGCTGCCTCCTTCTAAGACTGGGGTTCCATCGACACTCCATATGATGCAGTGTAGACTCATATAATGCAGTTCTCTTAGGCCCCATCTACATTGCCATATAATGCAGGTAAAAAGAATCACCTCTGGAGAAGGGCCCCACAGGAAATGCATGAGTGCTTCCCAATCCCATAAGTGATATTTCCTCCCCACTTCTGGATGTTCCTATATGAATTTCCCTATCCCTGTTTCTTGAATTCTGTAAAATTTATTGCTGATTTTTATATGGCCATTCATAAATCTTCAAAAAAAATGAACATGTGCACTTAAGAAGTTCAACGCAAGTTATAAACTAATTGAGCCCGATGGAGCAACTTAAGAAATGCAAATGCTTGCTTGCACACCGAGGTCACCTCAGTTTCCTTAAATCATTGTAATCTCATGCTCTCAGTTAGAGGCTTTATGGCTTTATTGATAAAGCCTGGAGATATCTGCTCCTGAAGATCAGTGCACAGATTACCAGTATTTGCCAAACATTGAACTGTTCCAATCTTTGTGTTTGTCCAACTGTTCCTTTATGTAAACTGGACAGGCAATTACTTTGATAATGAACTGTTTTACATATGGCCACACCTCATTTCAGTGGTCCATGCCTCCCTCCGGGGTGGACTTTTAAATGGACTCAGACTTCAAAAAAAAATGACAGCTGTTTATTTTTCCCTTTACATGGGAACTCCAACCAGAAATGACAACAGAAAGAATCCCCTGCCAGTGGGATTCCTAGCTACACCATTTTCTAGCCAATCAGGGGCTGATATGGGGATTCTGAATAGCTGTCAAAGCAAATAAATATGCTCTGTATTTTCTAATGGGTTATGCCACATCTTTGAGAGTGACATCTCTGTTCTGACATCCTTTTGGATCTAAAACAATAAACCTCTGTTCTATTTCCCTTCAATACGATTCGTTGAGGTAGCGGACCACACCTGTGGTCTTAGTGGATAGCTTGAATTACTCAACAGTGAGGCATGTGCATGTGTGTCATAGAATCATAGAATAACAGACTTAGAAGAGGCTACATGGGGCATCCTAGTACAACCCTCTGCCATGGAGAAAAAGCACAATCAGGGCACCCCCTCCCATAGTATGTCTTTTACCAGGCCAAAGAAGAAGTAGCAAGGAGTGCCTCAAACACAGTCCTCTTCTGTCTTTTCCCCGTCAAGTGTCTACCACTTCTTGTCACATAACAGTGGTTCTCAACCTGTGTGTTCCCAGGTGTTTTGCCTACCACTCCTAGAAATCCCAGCCAGTTTACCTGCTGTTAGGATTTCTGGGAGTTGAAGGCCAAAACATCTGGGGACCCACAGGTTGAGAACCATTGTGTCGCAATGTGATTTCCTTCCATGTCTCCTTGAGAACACAGCTGTATTAAAATAAACACATTTACTCTTGCCCTTATTACTGAATAGAACTCACAGTCCCAAAGCAAGGAGTGATTACTTGTCCTTTTTTGTAAATCAAAAGCCCTAAATAGAGAAGATATGTCTCCAACTCTTGGTCATACGGTTGCTTCCATTTTCTCGTCATAATAACTTCTCTCCCAGTTCATATCAAACATTAGTTTTACAGCTGAAAATTCACCCTCTCTATATTTTATTGTAACCTCATATGAGGGATTCACTAAAAGTAGCCTATAATTAGAAAGCTAAAACAAAGTCTATTAAATCCTGACATAATAATGAACCTGTTCACATATTTAATTTTCACTGGTCTGCAGTGTTTCCTCTTAAATGCCAGTTACATAAAAGCATGTGTGGCAACTCACACAAGC